TCGTTTTTTGTCTGTGTGTTTATCGACCCATTTGGAGTGGGTCTGTTTTCTAATGTGCTCTTCAAAATTGGTCGGTTCACTACCCCCGTGGTTGTGATGCCGTACAGCAGATGCCCCCAATACATATGACCATGGATGATCGGTCAGGCGTGGTGCTACCTTTCTAAGGCACACTTCTACAATTGTTACTGCTAGATGAGATATTCGTCCAGTCATACCATCAAGATGTGTAAAGACGCTATACTACCATCTAGCGTAGTGGTGGGCCCCTTTTAAGAAGCCAACATAACGCTCCCAAAAATCTCGATAAAAAATTGTTAGATGATGCAGTGGGGCACCCCCTACCTCAAAGTTATGGTGACTTTTCGCAAGCTCAGACTAACAGTTGTGTTCGTGGTCCCTCAGTTACACATCTGTCCGTGTAAGCGTGAAGAACTCCCTCTTACTTTAGAGTGAAGTGTCTAAATCTTCAGCGCCGTCAGGGCCAGCATTCGTATCCCAGAACTACAGTGCGTAATTGGGGGCCTTACATCGCAGGTCCCTCCAGATGGAAATCATTTTTCTTAGGTGTAAATGTTGGATATGGGGCCCACTCTATTTTAGCCCCTCACCAAATTCTAGCACTCTCTTTATGTCCGAGATTTCCCGTTCAGACACTTTGAAATAACGAGTTCAATCCCGCATAAGATAAATTTTGGGGGGGTCCCATTCCCACGGTTGTTGAATATAAAAATTAACATTTCACGAAACCTTGAGGGGGGGGGGGGGGGGGGGAGGGTTGAGGTGTAACCATGATGTATCACCAGAGTGTGGTGGAGCTGTTGGCATGAACCATCCCAACTACCACCCAACTAACCTTACAACCACAAGAGTCTGTAGCCTAGTTGGTAAAGGAAGCACTCTGGTATGTGACTCAGCATTGCTGAGGTTGTGAGTTCAAATCTCACCAGGCACATCCTCTGTTTGTTTGTCTCTACATCTTGTGCTGTTCATTTTCTGCGGGATTGTGTGTGATCATAGGACATTGAAAATCGTCACTATGGACCTCGGCTGTATCAGTTATATGGACAGTTTACACAACTTGTCCATTGAAAACAGAAAGCAGAGGAAGAGGGTTCAAGAGCATAAATTCTCACTTGACATGTCAATTTCTCTAATTGATGATTTACACTACACTACATGTGTAGTGTAACTTCTACTGTAGCGTAGCGTAGCTAGGCATGTAGCGTAGTGTAGTGTAGCTTTGGTATAAGTTACACTAAATGTTAGCTTCAAATCAGTTACACTATCTGAAGGTCAAAATTTTGTTAGCTCAAAAAAAGTTACACTAACTGTTAGTTTAGCTGAGATTATTTAAAGCTAACACTACCAAAAAATTTGAGAGAAAAATTTACACTACACTAACAGTTAGCGTAGTGGGGTTTAGCGTCAGCTAACACTACAGAATTTTCAGGAAATAAAAAGACCACTACACTAACAGTTAGTGGTCAAATAGCGTAGTGTAGCGTAGCGGCCCACTGTTGGTGTCAGTGTGTGACCAGGAGCAGCTTATTGAGGTCTGAGATGGCAAGCAAGCAAAAATTCTCAAGTCATCTTTATCCTTTACTAGTATTTGCCCCAACCCCAATTTTGGGGAGGTTGCTTGTTTTTTCCCCAGATGTTGGGGGGTTTTACTCAATGACCTTTTGCCCCTTTCAGTGTATTGCTTGAATTGGGCACCTGTCTCAGTCCAAAATTGTGTTGACAAATGTGAATTGGAGGTCAACACTGGCGCTAGATTGCATGACACTTTGTTTGGCTCTCTGATTATTCAGACTGATCTACATATAACTAATAGTTATATGTAGATCAGTCTGAATAAACCCATGACATCATCATAGCTCAAATATTTCAGCATTTCATTTTCCTCTTGGCAATCTAAATAAATTATACACATAAGTGTTTCTGACTTATTTCTGACAGAGGTCTGCGGAGTCCCTCATTTGGCCTTCCTAAAGCTATGTAAAGTCCAACTCTTGCTTGCTGATGAGAACTTGATCCCACTCGATTCTTTTTGATCAAAAAATAATAATTTATGTAGATGAATAATAAATAATTCTATAGAATATATATATGTATATTGTTTTTGTTGTAAAAGATGATAAGTTAGAGGTGTATGCTAGCTACAAGATTGGTTAATTAGTCACTCATTTATATATATATAAATAGTTATAATTGTAAATTGTTGAAGAGAGAGAGAGGTGAACTAACCCGGAAAATAAGGTAAGGAAAGATAAAGAGGAAACAGGAGGGGAGGGCCAGAGGGCACAGATTATGATAAAGAAGTACAATTTGCAGGGATAACCTAAAAAGCGTAGTTTCTCTTTTGGAAAGTGTTCACGATTTGCATAGAATAATATCAGGAGGGACTCACAAAAAGAAAAAAAGGATCAATAAATAAATTTATAAAAAGATGATGGCAAGAAGAAGGAGAGAGATGATTAGAGGGTCTTTTTGCATCTGAGGAGAGACTTTTCGTCGACGGGAGGATCCAAGATAAGATCATGATCGACGGGAAGATGATTGAGGATACGATCAGAAGAGTTGATGGGACTGGAGGAGGGGGCAAGAGATTTCGAAGACGAAGAGAGGGACGAATGATGAGAGGCGAGAAGACTAGTGAAGGCGGGATGATTTTGAGTCCGGAGCTCGATTTCGAGGGCCGTCCAAGCCTCAAGACAGCGCTCACGGAGGTCCCAAAGCTCGTCCAATCGGTCCTCCTTCAACCTCCAACAAGTACGCAATCGCTTCCAGGCCCCATAGGCCCCGTCTATCATCCCATCATGCACCACATGCATCACTATCACACTCCCAAGGCCTACCATCGTCCCAACCATCAGCCGCGTCCAGTCTCGCTCCTCTTGTTCCGCTACTAACATTCGCACTATCATCGTCACGTAGATCGGGACCATCGCTAGGCCTGAGAATAGGCCTAAGACTACCTTGTTTTGGGCCATACTCTCCGGCTCATCCGCTTTTTTTTTTCTCATTCAAAGACAAAAAAAAGCTTGATAATTAGTCTCCTTCCTCGTCCACCTGTCAAATCAAAAGGAATATTCATATGGAAAACTTAAGAGAGAGATAGAGAGACAAACGTTGGAGCCGCGATCCGACGTAAGCGCCGATATAGACAGGCAGATGGGCCAAAGCGAAGAGGCAGAAGAAGGGCCAGATGCAGAGACATCGGGCTGCTTCGATGGCCAAGCGGGCGCGCGCCTCACGGGTTGGGAAGACCTGCACAAACTCCAGATGAGTGGTATCTACTGCCGTCAGTTGACGGTAATATTCGATTAGATCGGTCCGGAAATTCTTGATCGTCGGTGGTGAATCTTCTTTTATTGACATAATGTTGACTAATCTGTTGAGTTTTTTTTTTGTTTGTGGAAAAAAAAAGAAAGAAAGAAGGGAATGATATATAAGGAGGGGGTATTCTTAATATAGGAGAGGAAGGGAAGGAGGCTCAACTGTTGCATGTTATGTCGGTAATGATGGAGCGGACCCAATCCGTCAAGAGGCCAGATAAACTGTCTGAGGATCTGAGCGGTCCACAGCGATTCCCAATCGTCGGCATTAACGGTGACCGATCTGAGCCGGGCCTCGATGGCCTTGATGAGCAGCTTGACCGCCGCTTTCTCCTCGCCCGCCGTCATGAAGCGCTCGACCACGGTGGGGTCCAAGGTGATGGGGGTCGAATACTCGACCTGCACGGCCGCCCGATAGCGCGTCTTGTCCGTGTAATTCAGCCCACAGACTATCACTTTCACATCCTCCACCGCTTCCGGCGCTCGGTGCAATCCTCCCGCTGTCCCCTCCGATCCGGATAACTCTTGCCCCGTCAGCCGGAGGTTCTTCGCATACTCTAAGGCCGTCTGTGGTTTCCCTCATGTTTTACAATCCTATCAACACTCCGAATTTCCTCTCTTTTTTGTTTTTTTCTTGATGAGGCGGTGTGGAATTACTAACCCAGGCTATTCCATCTTTTACTTGGATGATCTTCGGTTCTGTGTAACTCGTACCCTCCGGAAATAACGCCACACATTCGCCCAATTTCAAGACATCGAATGTCCCTTTGAATAACAACTATTCCACAATTTCCCCAACAACAACAACAACAACCATAAATTGAAAAAAAAAAAAAATGGAAAAATTTAGTCAGTGAGAGTTTAATAAGTTAATGAATGATTTTCAAAATGTGAAGTTTTCTTTTTGTTTGTATCTGACCTGATTATTTCGAGTGGTACGATCGACAGGAATGTTGCCAGCATCGAGTAAGATGAAGTTGATGATCGGGTTCTTGAACAGAGTGTTTTTGGCCCAATAATGTAACCGTCTTCCATGAGGCATTCTACTTGACAACATCGCCGGCTGCACAAACAAAAAACCCACATGAACAAAATAAAATCAGTGAATAAACAAATTTTGATTCATTTATTTTTTCTTTTAAATGAAAAAGATGGCTTGGATCTTCTCGGAGTTTTAAAACAAGAACTTGAGAAGTGAAACGTGTGATCTGATTTACATCGATGGTCATGTTCCAGTGATTTGCGGCGACGATGACGGGGCCAGTTGGAGGGACTTCATGAGGGTTAGAGATAGTGATGGTGTGGAAGTAGGAGTTGAGACTCCATCTAGCGAGAGTGTTGATGATATCGTAAGTTGGTCCGAAGGGCATCTTCTCGTTTGCTCGTCGTTTGTTGAGGAAAGTGTCGGAGGTGGGTTGGCCGATGTATGTAGCTGTGGATCTGATCTAGTGCTGGTGGGGTGGTTGTTGGGTCGAAGTTTTGCTGTGAGAAAGACAGCTTGATCGGGTTTTATCCTGCTGGGTCACCACTACCAAGGAGGAGATCAGGAGCCTCATTCGAAATTCATAGCCATATTCACACATCAGGAACAATCATCATCATCATCAATTCATATTACACCACATCAAAAAAATAATATTCAAAGCACAAGATCTCAGAATGCGTGCCTACACCAACACGAGAAACCCCACTCCTTTTGAGTCTGTCTCACCAAGATAATTACCCACCAAAACTCAGAATGATTTCATCACTTCAGGATTGGACTCGAACAAATTATACATCCGAACTCATCTTATGATTAACAAAGGTCAAAGATATACACGAGTCGGGCTGCGTTTAAGTTTTGAGAGACAACGTCATTCAACAACGCACAAACAGATCAGGAATCAATCAATTCATACAACAACGGATCAAACGAGGAGAAAGCCCCGGCCCCCGAGGGGAATATCAGAACCAGATAACCAAAGTGCGTTCTTATTCTCTATGGTTGTATTGTTGTAACAGGCAACAGAAAACACATGGAGGGTTGAGTGTTCTAACTAGTAGATAGGAGAAGGAAGCTGAGATCTGATCATGAATATAACAACAAACATTGCATGGGCTTGGAAGCAATCCACAAGGGAGGATTATAATCATGCACGATGTTCTTGCAAGGCCAAGCTGGAAACCTCCTATTTCTATATATATCAAGGGCTGGCCATGGGTAAGCCCCAAAAGATATGTTTGTCACATGATTCTTATTGAAGCCATCATCATTTGCCCATGATTCCATGGTCTAATAGAGACTGTGCAGACTCTTCTCATCCATTGCTAATTTGGGCCACCAATGGGTATGGGTTAGTAGGATGAGGATGAGGGCCAAAAATCAAACCATTCCCATTGCCAGACAGCCATCTGCCCTCAGATTTTCCACGTCTAGAGGTTTGTATCCTTAGGGCCTGTACCGTAAGGTTCAATTTTGAAAAATTGGCATTTTTCTGTCTTCTAACGTTCTACACAGAAATTGAGAACAGTTACAGATGTCTATTGTGGGAATTCTTCACTTTCAGGACAAACACTGGCCTGGGGTCAAATTAAAGTCACTTTTGATGATATGAAATTTTGAGCAAGATAAAATTTTGAAAAGCATATTTTGCTCAGAATGGAATTGAGCTTTTTTCACAGACCCATGGTTTTTCAGTGTTGTAGCATGTGTGAGGAGTTTGAGATATTCTTTTCTGCCTACCAAGGTGATGGACCCAGTTTGGACCAAAGGATCCATCATCACCCAATTTCATTTCTCTATCATGCAAGCTTTTAGAACTGTAGATGAAATTTGTGATTTGGGCCGTTTAACAAGCCAAATTTGGTAAAGATTTCAATCCTTGATCTATTTAATACTATCTTGATGATTGATATCTATGTTTAGTCATCAACTCAAAAAGAGATCAAGATCTTTAGCCATCTATATTCTTGATTTTATATGCTATGACTACTAGGGAAACTTCTGGATGAACATTTCAACTTTTCAAATTAGTAAGCATTTTATATTATGTGAATTCATCTGAATTGAATTGAGAATCACAAGAAACCATTTTATCTTGTCACTCTTTTTTTTGAAAATAGATAGGCAAAATCTGTGTAGCCAGTTTTACCAGAAGATTTGACTTTGTAAATGTATCCTGGATTGAGGACATTCCAGATTCATTTGTGGAGTGCCTCAGTGTGAGCAGGAATTGTGTCTGTCAGATTGAGAACATTTCCCAGAACTACCCTGCCCCCTTCCTCGTGCTTGTCGAACAAAATGACAATCACACTTGTCACATCTGGTATATTCAACTGCAAAACCACTTGACTGAATGATACCAGATACATAAATTCAAAATTCCATTCTTAGTCTGACTTAAGCGGAAGGAGATTGCTTACACTAGCTAATTCTCCAACATGGATATATTGTTTGGTTTTGTTTTTTGATCCCGCTCTTAGATCGACCCTTTGACAAACTGGGCATTTAGTGTTCATCTCCTCTTTACCTGATTGCCACTCTTTCATACAATGGGAATGATATAAATGCCCACAAGGGTTCCATTTGGATGGATTTTCACCCAACTCATCCTGGCAAATGGGACATGACTCAGAGGAAATTCGTGTCTATATTGATCAATCACCCATCATGGAATGGAAACATCAGTTTTGTTTTTAACTTCCTTTTGTTGTGGCAAACCAAGGGAAAATTACTCACATCACCTGTCATGCGCTTTGTATGTTGATGTGCAGATTTCAGAAGAGCATTTGCACCCACAGACTCTGTCAATTATGTAGAAGACCACAATTATTTTTTAGTTCTTCTTGTCTTGCATGATTCTCTGAAAAAATGCAGATATCAATTTACCCATTTTATCATTGGACACATGGAGGATTGGTGTTGGAACTATTAATTGGAAAAGCTGAAAGTTCATGAAATGAGTGATCAGTACTTATCTAGCAGCTCAATGTATAAATTAAGCAGAGTCAGAGGAATAATATCCAACCATAGTAGCCACAAAGATGAAAAGCAAATGCATTTTTTTTCAAGAAAATATCTCACTACCCAACAGCTTGGACTTGCTCAGTAAGCTTGCAGGGGGTTTCAGGCTGTGGAACTGAGGTCAATTTATAACTTAGGAGGTAGAGATTATACATACCCAAGAATTAAAGCTTGTCAGTCTGTCCAACAGGAGAAAATTGAGTTTGTTGTTTTTGTATTGGTTCATGTTTCAGGATGCAATTATAGTGAAACATGCACCTTGTCAGATTTTATCACATGTGTGCATTGGCAAATATTATGTCACATGTGCATGGGCAAAGTTTATCAAAAATATAAGAATGATCATTTGATGACAAGTGACATCAGCCCAAGTCCAGAATGCTATCCATTACATACCCAGGTCAGCTCTGCCCCATCTCCCTGTACTGTAGCACACAAATGCCACATTTTCATTTGGGTTGCAGTAGGGTTGGAGCTACATTAAACAGTGAAGCCAATACAATACATCTGCTTTTCTCCAAATACTTTTTATTTGTATTGTATCAAAAAACAAATTATAAACAGATTTATCACACAAAATTCTTGTATCTGGCCAGAAATACAGTCCAATACAAAGAAACATGATACTGTATATTTTTGTATCTTACAAAATTTTTGTCAAAAACAGTCCAAATTTTCCAAAAAATGTGTTATCGGTTTTTGATAAAATGCAATTGTATTGTATCTGATATTAGATACAATACACAATGCATGATGTATCAGAAAATGATAAAACACAAAAGCATCTTCAGATACTGTATTGCATTGTATCTGCTTCACCGTTGCTACAGTGGAGCAGTGATCAATGTTACATGATGTCACTTGCCATATAGTGAGCATTGATTTTTCTCAGTGTTGATTCCCAACCGTGAAAAAAGTGATTGCAGCACTACATCATTGGATTCTAGTCTGATAAAATTAAGGATGGTTGTGGACCAGGCAGAAAAATACCAACCCCTGGATTCAGTAATTAATGGGATAGAGCAAAACTGTTGAAAATTCTGTGGGTTTGTGAATTAGGTTTGGGTCTGCTAAAGTCTGGTTGAAGGGCCTGAAGGCTGCACTATATGATATCAGTATACATGGCTGGGTTCTCAGAAGGTTGTACAGTTGTACTTTAAGCAGAGATTGTTTGAGGGTTATGATTGCAATTTTGGGGAATGTTTGTTTTACTCCCTGGAGCATTCCTGATAATTCCTATCTTTCTCTTTTCAAGAATACTCCAGAGAATATTCTTGGTAAGTTCCTCCAGCTGTCTTAGTTTAATTAAGTTCAAATGGCCCTGATTTTTATTTATTTCAAATTGAATTTTGAAGAACATGAGATAGAGTTCTTGAGCATCATTTTTTCATTTATTTGGGAATGATTGCAGGGGAATTTTATGCTTCATTCACTTTAAATAGCACTGCTGATCATTCCTACTACAGTGATTTGGGTTGACAAGTGCCAGACCAGCAGGAGGGACTTCACGAGGTTTAAAATGGTTGTGGTGAAGTAAGAGTTGCAACTCAATCTTAAAAGAGTGTTGATATTCTAGGTTGGTCCTAAGCAAATTTTATTTTTGACTTAATGGAAATTTCTGAGGAAAGTGTTGGAGTTGGATTGTTTGGCCCTGGGTTTTTTTTTCTCTGTAGTGCTGGACCACTGGTGGGGTTGCTGTAGGGTCAACATTTTTCTGTGAGAAGAATCAGTCTTTAGTCTTCTGGGTCAAAACTATGCATACCAAGCTGGTGGCACAGGGGATCATATTCATTTTTTGGGATCTATTATGCACCACTTTACCAACACTGAAACAAATACAGTAGTGGGATTCAAAGTTAATTTTCAAAGTGCATTCTACATGTTATCATAAGCTCAAAAGTTTTAAAAGTTAACATTTCTGAAACTCTAAATTCCTCATTGTTTAGAACATGAACATTATGACTTTGTATATAATGGCATTCAAAAATCAACTTTGAAACCCCCCAGTATCTGTCAAGTATCACTCCATGTATCTGAACTCCAATAAAAAAAAGTATCTGACCAATGTGCTTTTATTTGCAAGGAGATGCAAAAAATTTGGTTTTTGGCCATGAAGCTTTTCAGAATTCACCATTATGGTATCTGTTACAGCATCGACTTGGCCAAGTATTGTGACTTCAAGTTTGTTCTTTGACACTCTGGAATTGAAAGCAAGCAGCCAAAAACAATGGTACACCCACTGCATGTTTCAAAGGCCCACCTGTAGCTAACACAAATTGGACACAGGTGGAACCCCAAATATAATATGTACCTATAGGCCATACTCCTTTACAGCTGCTGAGGCCAACTCAGCAGTATGTTTGACTTGGGGAGTTTTGGGCGTGTATGAGTCTGACAAGAGGTTTTCTTGGCCTCTTCCAGGCTGTTCTGGGAGGTTTTTTTTTTCTTCAAGGTGTGTATCATTTGTATACCTGGCTCCCAAGCAGTTCCTGGCAAGGTTTGGGATGTGGATGAGCCAAATCCTGATCCTGGGAACCAGAAGGCATCTTTTCCAGGGGGTGTACTTGAGACTCAAGTGCCTCCCCTCCCTATTTTCATTGCAATTAAAAAGAGTCCAGTCCACTCATAGAAGGCAATTGGGACTTGTGTTAAGTTTGTGACTACTATAGAGTATAGAATGTCCAGGACTGGTCCAAACACAACCAAATTTGGGATGGGGGGGGCCACAGAACCCACACCAATCATTGTCTCTTGTCTAATCCCAACAAGATTTTGGTGTGATTCAGTTGATAAGCTCATTGGGCACCCTCAGTAGTATCTGAATATTTTGTTCAAGAATAAAGAAGTTGCATTTCATCTAAGCCAATTGAATAAGTCACCAAAAAACATTGATATGTTTTTTTAAATATTCCTTGGACAATTGTTTTTTTCCAGGACCTCAAGTTGTGGACTTTGCCTTCACAACATAAGTCATTCTGTCCATTTCTGCCAAATGTTGATGATTAATCAAAAATATAAACTTACCCTGCTCATCCCATAATTAGAGATTTGCTTTGATGTTCTTCATTTCAAGCCTACTTCAAAAAATTGATACTCTGATAAGAATGAGATGAAAATTAGCAATATGATATCTAATTGTGATTTTTTCAGATTCAGATTCAGATGGTAAGATTGATTGATAATTTTCTTCTTAAAACTTAGATCACAGACCCAGTATTTTGGGCTAGGTATTTTTATTGTGATAGGGAAGATAAGATTGTAGTAGAAAGCCTAAAGACTTGAGCTGAAGCTGTTGGGTTTTGGGTTGGAATTTGAAACAGGGATAGAAGGTGGAGAATAGTGAAATAGGAGAAACAAAATCATAAAACAAACGTTTCACGCTTAAGATTACATTTTATTGAAAAATAAAACTCTCAGATCAAAGAAAGTTTCATGATTGATTGAGATCAGACAAGGCGAACGCGTAAAAATCAAAGGTCCAATGCAGACTAGATGTGTATTTAAATTTAATCAGAACACAAAGCAATCAAAACATATAGGTAAGTCTTAATCACTTCTATGTTTGTCCTGCTCTGCATTTCCTATAGTGAAGAAACCAAGAGAGAGACTGACCATCCTCCCGGTTATATTGCGATCGCGGGAACGCACACGTATGTATCGCACTCGGTGATAGTCCTCATTTCCACAGCGCTTGAGACTTCTTTCCGCGGGTAATGACGATGACGTCCAGTAGTACACTGTTCGTTGAAAATGTGGCAAAGCTGCAGGTGAATTGGCTCGGTTAACACCGGTGCAACCAAAACATGGAGCATCGACAGAAATTCCTTCAAGGGGGGTGTGGGCAAACAATGGTCTTCGGACCATCAGATCAGCACATGATTCGTCCGGACGAGAGTAAAATCTCAAGACGCGTAGTTTGGGGAAGTTCAAGTCGAAGATGTTGTATAAAAAGAGGTGGTTGGAAAACTGAATCACTTCCAATCTGTTGCTAAATATTTCGAAGATCGGTAGAAGGTCCTGAGAATGATTAAAACCGTTACCCCATATCGCAAGTAGTTTGAGATTTGGTAGCGCTGATGACATGCTGACAATCCCATCTTGGGTTATGTTACCGATCTCTTTAAAGGAGAGTTCAAGATTAGTGATACTCGAGAATTCATGATTGCCCAGGCTGAATGTCTTTGCTGAACAAACAGGTCGGAAATATCCCAAGTCAAGCGTAGCCAATCGTTGAGCTGCTTTGAGCAACTTGCACAGGCATTCGGAATCGGTAGGCAACCCGCCCGGAATTTGATCGGATTTGAATTCTAGTCCTCTCATGTATTTTTTCTTCGATGAGAACCGGATCCTAATTCTCAGAGCACGCAATCTCTTCAAGCGCCCTATGCGTTCAATTGTAGCTGATGGAAGCGTGAAAAAATTCGTGACTTCAATCGTAAGTTCCACGATGGTATCCGAGAATAAGTCGATCAGAGCATCCAAGTCCAGAAACCTGGTCTGCATTGTCCCGAATGGGTCAGGTGGAGGTCCCCAGGTCCAAATGCGCTCAACCGCCAGGTGCTCATAGATGGGAAGCGCAAACCCATTTGACTGTGAGGTATGAACTGTCTTGATGTAAGCCATCGATTGATAAGAACTGTTGAACGATATTCTGCGATAAAAACGATGTCCGTATAACAAAATGGCCCATTTTCGACAAACGAATCCGCAGGCGGCTATGTCTTCTCCGTCTTCTGTCTCAGTCTGTACTGATGTCAGCCCCAAAAACCAACCTATTCACAACAGATGAGGGATGATAATGATTTACCTCATGGCCAAGGTGATGGAATATCAATAAAAGGACGTCGTCAGGAATGTTTGTAATGGTAGCCATCGATCACGATCTAGATCAAAATTGAACAAGCAGCTTTAGCAAAGTAGTTACGAGACCAGAATGACAACCAAAAACTATGCCTTTAAAAGATTTCCGTGGCACGTTATGAGTCCTACAAGCGATGTCGCAAACAAGCAGGCTGTCAAAAGAATTTCCTGATCCTCGACAACAATTGTTGCGAAATAATTGTAAAGAAATAGTTGAAGGGGGCGATGGAATAAATCAATGGTCGCACTTCAGTGGCTTTGTGATGGCTCCCTCTAAATTTTCAAAAAAAAAAAAAAAAAAATTGCAAGAGAGAACCGATGATGTTGATGTGCTTCAGGAAGAAGAACTGTGTGATGCGTAATGCTGATAGTGTAATCCAAAGCTTTGGCCACAATAAATGACATCCAGATTCCAGACGGTATATGTGACATTGTATGTACTTTATGTTTGGCAAGCCCAACAATTCATCAACAAGACTCTTCTCTCTGATAAACATCATCGCACGTCGCTTCTCAACCATATCTGAAAGCCTTTCTGTCAAAGACGGTTGCAGTCGGTGACTGGGAGTGCGTCAGATCTACTATACATGACCTCCAACAGCCTCTAACAGTACCATTCTACGCTGCCTCGTACTCTTCAACCGCCTTTAACCATTCTTGAACCTGTGTCAACTCAAATATGAAATGCATCCACTATGTATTCATATTTTTTGCTTGCAGCAAGTGGCCAGTCTTAATCGGAGGACCGATTTGCTGTGTTGTGCTGCCAATCCAGTCCAAATAGGATCAAATTCAACTATTGATCACAAGGATTGACTTGGTGTGACCCATTAACCAACGCGGATAGTTTTGTGCCGTGGAGTTGGAAGTTTAGTCATAGTTCAGGGCTGAGTGTCCCCATCCAAACCCCGTTTTGTTTTGCAGTATGGCGATAGCCCGGCGCTTACTGATTCAAAATGGCACTGGGCAAGAACAACAAGGATTTTCAGATGATTTAGCTAAAACATGGGTGAATCAGTTTATCATGTAGAAGTGTAAAAATGTGGAAAACATCACTGTGTTTATATTTACGTCAATTCGTGCATCAGTTTTCTGATGAGGCCTGAATGAATTTATGTATTTAATTTTGATACCCATTTTACTGTTCCACGGCAGATAGCTATGTAACATCATTTAGTGCGTGTCTATTTGGTTGATGATTTTTCAAGGCTGAATCCAGTTTTACTTGGAGGACTGCTTCTGGCAAGTTATTTTGATTTTATCCTAGATTAAATGCAACTTAATTTCAATGTTTCCAATGCCCATTGTAGGTCTTATGTCAAAATTTGTTGTTTATATCATCTGCTTCTGACAGATATTATTTCAATTTGTGAATAATTTTAGGGCAAGGGTTCTGATTTACCGTAGTGCAGACTTTTTAATTCTTTGAACAATAGAACCAATTTGATCAGGTGTTAGTTGCTGGTGGCACAAAGCTGATCCGAGAGGCAAAGTTTTTGTTTTTCAAAACAGCTTTCAATTTTTACCTTGTCTCTTGATTAATAAAATATTCAGGTGAGGGTTTGATTCTTCCAGTCCAAGCAGTCAAGGGCTCGATGCAGTTCCCAAAACGGATCTTCCCTACGCCGGTCGATCCGACTGAAAAAAGCGTAGAAGGCAAAGGCCAACAAATGAACAAGGGACAAGACTATTTTGATTGAATGCTGTGTGTATGATTAGAAAACATAGGTTTGGGAGTCCTTACGTCACAGTTGAGGAAAAAGATATGAAAGAGATGGAGCGATCATGATACAGAACAAATGCGACATATATAGTTCATTACTTTCGCGATCAATTCAAAATCTTGATAGTTTTATGTTGGAGCACAAAACTTGCGGGTCACAGACCGACCCAAGATCAATTCATAAAGTGCTCATAATCAGAATGGACTCAGCAAATTTTTTAAAATTTAAGCCCTGTTTTGAAAGCAGAAGGAAGGTCGAAATTCAGATTATCTGCAGCAAACAATGATAAACAAAAAAATGTGTGGATTAGTCTTAAATTGGAAGGATTTTTATCTATGTTTTGATTCAGGGGCAAGGAGACTCACCTTCTTCTCTCATGTTAATATCGCCATGATAGATATATACGCATTCGACAGCGTGATCCTGACAGAGTTTTTCGTAATTTCGCGGCGGTGGGGACTGCGAAGTGTAGTGGAATTCGAGTCGTTTCAAATGGAGACTGTCGAAGGGTATATTTAGAAAGGCTTCTCTCTTTTTGTGGAACGGAGAAGAGTGAAACGAAAGGACTTCTAATGTATCGGATGAGAACATGTTATTCTTCAAAAGATCGCGGGAACGTTTTTCCCAATCGTGCAATCGGAACAGGCGTAGTTTGGGAAAGCTTAAGGTCTGGATGGGCTCTAAGATCCTTGCATCGGTGATCACGAGTTCTTCAAGTCGTTCTCTGAGAATTTCCAAGATTGGGCGGATGATTTGACCGTCATAACCCGCCCCGCCGATCGAAAGCCTCTTGAGATTCGGTAGCTTTGCCGCCAAACAAACAATCCCAGATTGGTCCAGGTTACCTTCCACTTTGACATCAATTTTCAAAGTCGTAATGTTCGAGAATTGATGTTCAGCCAGATGAGATTCAACGAGGATCGATGGCGAACAGACCGGACGGAAGTCGGTCAAATCGACGAATGCAACCTCTGGGACCGCTTTGAGTAAAGAGCTCAGACATTCGGAATCGAGTGGGAGGTCGTTTGGGACTCTGTCGACTGAGGCTCCTCTCAACTTGGTGCCCTTGGTGAACTTGATACCAAGTTTTAGAGCACGCAAGTTTTTAATCCGACTTATCCGTTCGATCGTAGCCGTCGGAAGGGTGAAAAAATTGATCACTTCGAGGTCAAGTGTGAAGATCGTCTCGGAGAATTTGTCAAGCAAGGCATCTAGATTGCTAAACTCGGTCTTCATGTTTCTGTACAAGGGGGGCAATTTTTCCCAAGTCCAGAGCTCGGAAACTTTCAGATAACGACATCTGGGTAGTGGAAGGTTTGCATTCTTCGATCGACGTTGCTCGAGTTGATTGATAAAAGCATTTGATTGTGCAGAACTCTTGAAGGATAACATGCGATACAGATGACGTTCGTATAACCAGTTAGCCCATTTCTGGCAAACGAGTCTCAGCTTAGCTACTGCGAGCATATTGGACACGATGCTTTGAATCCATTCTCCACGCTCCGGTTCAACAGAAGGCGGAATAAACGAAACATCTGCTCTTGTCAATAGGTGTTTGAGGACCACATCCAGGATATCATCTGAAAGCGCTAAGATGCCTGCCATTTCCTAATATGAATACAATGGGGTCTTTGAGTGAGAATCGGAAGGTATTTTTTGTGAAAGCTGGGTATATCAATTGAAGTTGATCGAACAGGAAACCAAGGGGCAGTTGGATGGGCAGGACAAAACCTGAACAACTGAAAGACTCCCGTTGCTACTTGAATATCTGTAGATGCATCTAGACATGAGTATTCCATCCCAACACTGAACCTTGGTCTTTTGAGAAGGACCCGTTGTAACTTTTCATCAAGGATATGCAATACGCGAAGTTGTGGGGTTCCAATCCGGAACCTCGGGGTCTTGGGGGTCATTTAGTTCGAGTTTAACAGCAGCGAGTTTGTATACAACTGCAGACTGCAGAGTCAGATCCAACTTCAACCTGAGTACACCACAAACGGGTTTGAACCCATGCTTCACATTGGGTCACAAGTACCTGCCCCACCCAACACCTTGAGGCTTGATCACCGGACTTCTGGGCTACCACCAGGCTATATCACATTGGTTTAATCCCCGTTAGGGTTGACGGCGCCACCTTTTCAAGAGGTGTGCACCTAGGGGCGCCTGTCAAACCACCAGAGCATGGCGCCTTTGGCTGGCGGCGCCCCGGCGAGCTGGGCACCGTCAAAAAAGCTCAAAAAACAAGGTTCAAAGTTTTTTTTTCTTTTTTTTGTAGAGGCAAGACCTCTGCTACAATGCATAGTGCTTGTGTCTAGAGATGGCCCCGTTGCATCCGGATATCCGCGCGGATGCGGATATCCGGCTGCCTTTTCAGGGGGAAGCCACATCCGCACCCGCAACCGCAACCGCGGGCGGGTATCCCCCCGCCTGAGCGGGTATCCGAGCGGGTATCCTCGGATACCCGGCCTTTAACTGGCCGGCGAGGTACATCCTTGCCGGCTGGAAGGGCTTCCTTCCCGCCCGGGAAGAAGTTCCTTCCCGGCCTGGAGGAGGGTGATCCCTTGGAATGAAAGGATATCAGCCCGCCGTTGGGACGAG